CACTAGCACATCCACGATTATTGTTTGCCATGCTGTTCACAATAGCCAGAAAATAGAACCAGCCTAGATGACCATCAATAGATCATTTTTTAAAATGAGGAACATTTAAAAACAATGCAACACATTGAGCCATACAGCACAGTGAACTAGGCATGGTGGTGCATACCCACAGTCCCACTGCTTAGGAGGATGCAGCAAGAGGCTTGATAGTTCATAACCATCCTTGACTATCTAACAAGGTTGAGGCCAGCTTGAACAATACGAGACCAGGTCTCACCAAGAAAAATGAAATCATCGTATTTGCAAGAAAACTGATGGAACTGGAAATCATTTTGTTAACAGAGCAAGCTAGACTTAGACAAATACTGCATGCTTCCTCTCATGTTCAAAAGCCAGATTTAAATTTATATACATGTCATGAAAGAATACATGTTGTGATAGTGGAGGAAGACATCTTAAGGGAGGTAAGAGGGAGAAACAGGGGGCAACAGAATATGCCAGCAAGAGGGACAATGGAGACAGGGGAGGACAGTGGACGGGGACAGATTAGAACAAAATACAAAGGCATATATGTATAAAATGCCATCATAAAACCCTTGTAGCTAACAAAAAATTGTTTTTAAAAAGTCCCAGGGAAGAGGTCTGCTCTTTTCTGATGGGAGACAGAGGGAGTGAGGATCTGAGGGACAAGAGAGGTGAGGAAAGAGATTGGGGAAGAGAAGGGGGGAGAAACTGCAGTCAGGATGTAAAATATGAGAGAAAAAAAAACAAGGAAGAGCACACCAATTGTTTGTCCAGGGCCAAAGGGTCAGCCCTAAAACATATACAAACATATGTGATGAACAGTTTATATTTAGGAATATATATTTTATATACATATACATATACATATGTGCATGCAATTAACTGTGAAAAAAGTCATGAATTTGAAGGAGAATGAGAAGGGGTATATGGTAGGGTTTGGAGGGAGAAAAGAGAAGGGAGAAACATTATAATTATAATCTCAAAAATGAAAAATGAAAGAAACTGTCTATCCAGACCTAGTCATTTCTTAGAAAAAAAAAAGTATGCTAAGTGAAAGAATCAAAACACTCATACCCAACATACTACAGAACTTTTCCCACTTCATATATTCTAGAAGTCTTAAGTGTGCACGTAGACCTGCATGCATTTACACTTTTAATGCATGTGATATTTCAATGTCGTATCTAAAGGCTGGCGATAGTTCGGTGGTGGCACATTTGCCTAGCATGTGCATGTGTGAGGCCTTCATGCGTATGCTTCCTTCTTCTGGGATGCCAATCCCAGGTCCCTTTCTGCCTGACAACCCTCATCCCGCTCTTAATTCTCTGCTCAAGCATCAGTCCCTCTAATGAAGTTACCCTTACTTTCCAGGACCGCCTTTGGCACAGCAGCAAAGAGTTTTTTCTAGATTATGGCTGGAACTTGCACTTGTTTCAATTTCTCAGTTACAGAAAAGTAATTATTCTTCAGGACAAGAGTAATTTTCCTCCCAGATAAATTGAGCTCCCTGAAGGCAGACTTTCTGTATTAGCCACTTTTATCATCAATAGTATCCTTAGTGACTGGACTATAGATAATCGCTATATACATCTCACTGAATGAAATGGAGAGCTGAATACCTGGGCACTGCAATACTTTACTGAGCGACAGAAACCTCTGGTTCAAACCTAAACAGCCATACTCTGGTGCATATTCTCAGGCACACTCCAGCTATTTGTGGGTGGCTCCGCTCCCTATATACTGTACTAATTGCTGGACTACCTCAGTCTCTGCTTCTTCATGTATGATTTTCCCACTTGCTTCTCAAGGACTCAACTAATAGCAATTCCTTGGGCCTCTCTGATACTGAGGGAATCATTCTGGATGCAGGGAGGGGCTTGGCAGTGTGGTGATGAAACACACAGGCTTTGAAACACAGAAATAAGTTTGTGTGCTATGTGATGCTCACTCAGTTACCTAGTCATTATATGCCTGTAGGGAATATAGTACCCAAGCTCACCTTAAAGATGACAATGTTAAGATCATGGTGCAAAACCAACTTTACCCTAAATGGCTCAAATGGGTTATTTACAGAGGTTTGAACAATGGTGAGGGAACAAAGGTTGGTGGGGCATGCAGAAACCTACAGAACTAAGGAATTCCAGGTCAAAGGGAGGAAAGAGTATTATTTGATCCTAGTGAGACCTGGAATCCTAGAAGAGAAATCTAGCTAAGGCTAGAGTTGCAGGCCCTAGTAAAGAGGAAGACATATCCCAACAACCCACTCTCTGACTAGCTGCTGGTGTTATCTGTTAATGGAACCAAAAATGGCACTGGGACACAAGTGAGACCTGAGGGTGTAGCTGCAGAGTTGGATCCCTGGAAGAGACCAGGTAGAGACAATGAGAGTGGGGGTTATGGGGACAGACTAATTGGCACTAGGATTAAATAAAAACACAGCATCAGCACACTTCTCTGAGGGCCTGCCACATAGCAAGTGCTCAAGAAACAGCTGTGGTTACTGCTATGACAACTGCCAGGCCAATGCCATTTTCAGTTCTATCTGATGCCATCCTAGCAACCCCTCCCTGATTAGCAGACACCAGACATGACTGCAGACAGCATGGCCTGCATTCTCTGGTCTGCTCAGTCTCACAGCTGTTTTTCCTCACATCAAGGCTTTAATTATCCTGTCTCTGTTCTTCTCAAGCTAAATTAGGCTGTCTAACTGACTCCTATGTTTGCAGTGAGAAAAAAAAATCTGAGCAAAGTTCTTTTGGCAAGTGTCCATTTGGGCACTCAACTCACTTCCATGTGGGCAGCTTCAGACACTTCCCCTTTTCCTACTTATCTAACAGGCCAAGGCAAAATGGCCATGCTAACAACTGTTCAACTGTTGCTGCTATAGTGTAAAATATAAAAGTCTCTCATGAGGGCTTAAAAGTGTGTTTTAAAATCCTTTCCTCCTCACTGTTGGGCACGCTGCTTTCTTCTGCTATGCGCTCACTGCTGCCACAGGCCCAGGATATCAGAGGAGCTGATGCTCCCCTTCCCTGATTACAGCCTCCAATCACTTTCTCTTTCTCCTCTCACTTTCTCCTTTCAGTCTCTTGTCTTGTTTCCTATTCTTCAAGCATTCTTGCTACAAGGCTGGGCTCTTCAACACTGCCAGCCAATCAGTTCCTGTCCTTCAAGAAGACAACTTAATCACTGCAAATGAGATGAATCTTTGGCTATTTGACTTGTTGGCACCTGGTTTATTTTGAGTGCCTGTGGTTTGAAGCTTCTCAGGGCAGAATATATTCACCAGCTTCCCAGCAAGGTAGCATTTGGTGACTAAGAGCTGCAGATAAGGTCAGTGACATGTGTGAGGCTTAGAAGAGAAAGATCAAGACTTAACATTTAGGTAGCAGTATGGTGAGTTAAGGTAACAAAATCCTTGAGAGCTAGATGTCAGATACTTCCCAAGAATAGTGATGGTTGTTGGGGGGTCCCCCCTGAACACCTCTCACATAGTGCACACAGTAGGGCACTTTTGTGGGTCAAGGGCTGGGTGAGGACCCTGTGATAAAGCTTTACTAGAGAGGGGTGTATGCTGAAATTGATTTTTTGGGTCCAAATGACCCATTTACATAACTGAATCCTTTGGGTCTCTCCCCAGTTTAGGAAGCCATCTCCCTAGAAATGGGAGGAGGGGTGGGGGCTACGAAGGGTTAATTGGTATACTAGCACTTCAAGTTCTTTTCTAACAGTAGTTCTTTACAGCCAGTCTTCTAGTTCACATTTTCACAATCTTGGCTGTTAGCTGCAAAATGAAATGACTGTTACAAGAACAAACTAATTCTCCTGCATCTGAGGCAGTGTCTTCTAATGGAGGAAAGCCAGATATATGCTTGAAGTTCACATAGGCTTCTTGGCTGTACAGTTTCTAATGTAAAATAAAATTAACAAATTTTATTCAACATTGTGCTGACTCAGAGAAAAAACAAAACCCATGGATGCTGCCCTGGAAAAACTGAAATTCTCTATGGACAAAGTTCAAAAAGTACTGTAATAATTAGGTAAAGAAGTTATGCACCTATGTACTGGCTAAATAATTCCACCTCAAGTGCGTGGTTATTAAAATGTGTGCAGTGTATAATCATTGGTAGCTAGTACATAGACTTTAATTACATGAACATCATTCTTGATATATTTACTGTGATGATATGTAATATGAGTCTTCTCTAGGTAACAATGCTGTGTATTGTTGGAATTTCACCCAAAGTAAATTGTATTAAGAACTGGACAGGTAGGGTTTACTGGGATTAAGTTTGGCTCTCAAAGTAAAATAATTCTGTACACAAAAGAAACGACCTTCGTATTACAACGTCAATTCCCAACATCTTCAGTCATTTAGCTCTTCTTGGAAGTGGTTATGGCACCACACCAATTCAACAAGATTCAACTTGCAAATCTGGAGAATTCCAGGATATCAAATGTCATTTATGAAAAAGTCTTAAGTATTCAGTTTAAAAATACACCTTTGAGAACTTCTTTCCATACTCAAGGACAAAATCAACAATAAACCAAATTCAGAAATGTGGTTGCCTAGTAAAAAGGGAATCTCCATCCAAACAGTGCTAACCTTTTTTACTAAAAGTGCAGGCCTGTTACTCTAGCTACTTGGAAGGCTAGAACAGATTTTAAAGTTCAAAGCCTGCTTGGGCCACTTAGGAAGACACTGTGTCAAAATCAAAGTGTAGTATGCATGTGTATATGAAATAGTGTAGTACTAACCAAAAAAGCAAAAGGAGGGCTAGAGGTGCGGCTCAGGGACAGAGCACCTGCCTAGCATACTCAAGGGCCTAGGTTTAATACCCAGTACCGCAATACATGCAAAACTGGACTTAAATAATTAAAATGCTACTTATTGGCCCTTAAGTTGAATGCAAAACCTACTACCCATAGAAGGCATACAGTGAATGCTACGGTTATTAAAAACCCACACAGTCCTCTCAGGAAGCAGACGTAAAGCTTTAATTCACTGTGGGCATTCTCTAACCATAGACAGCATTCAAACCAAGTGTCATACCACCATTCCTTTTAAATAGTTCAGGGCATAGTCCATGGAACATGAAGCATTTACTAAAAATAAATACAGAAATTAAATACAGGTAAGCAAATTTAAATAAAACAAAATTGAAAGACTAAAATCCATGAAAATTTACACAAACTGACTTTACTTCTAGGTACCATGTCACAATGACAAATAACAAGAGAATCACAACTGTTTTTAAATAACAGCATCTGAAGATTTTTGAATACCCAGTTATTTTCATTTACACATTGCATTTTTATTTCTATACAAGTAGGTTGGCTTCCAGATTGTAGGCAAAACTTCTTGGGTAATAAGGCCTGATGTCTTTTCATAAGCACAGAAAACAGTATTTATATTCACTGTATTATATGAGACATTTGTCAGCATGTAACATAGACCTCACAAGTGGTGGTATTAAAAAGCAATTCCAAACAGTACTAAAAATGGGGTTTCACAGACCCAGGAAGACAAACATGGTATGCATTCACTCATAAGTGGATATCAAATGTAAAGCAAAGAATAACCAGGCTACAATCCACAACCCCAGAGAAGCTACGTTAAAAAAAGGGACCCTAAGAGGGACATACATGGAGGGACCCAGGAAAGGAAAATAGTTATGATCTCCTGGTTAAACTGGGAGTAGGGTAGAAGGGAGGGAATGGGAACATGAGCGATCAGGATCAAGTTGGGGGAACTACAGAGTGGGAGAGCAATTAAAGCAGTATCTTGATAGAGGAAGCCATTATGGGGTCAGGGAGAAACCTAATGCTAGAGAAATCCTCAGGAATCTACAAGGATGACTCCAGCTAAGGCTCCTAGCAATAATGAAGAGGATGTCTGAATGGGCCTTCTCCTTTAATTGGATTATTAACTACCTTGTCATCATAGAACATACACTAACTGATGGAAGCAGATGCAGTAACCCACAGCCAAGTACTGGGCTGAGCTCCTGGAGTTCACTTGGAGAGAGGGAGGACTGATCCTATTAACACTGGAATCAAGAGCATGATAGGGAAAACCAGAGTCAGCTAACCCAAGATAGTGGAGGTCATGGACTATGGACTGACAGCTGGGGAACCGACATGGGGCAGAACTAGATCCTTTGAATATGAGTTATGTGACTTGTTCTGTTGGGGAGGTCCCAGGCAGTGGCACCAGGACTTAGCCCAGGGGCATACCAGGGGTATGAACAGGCTTTTGGGAGCTCATTCCCTATGGTGGGATACCTTGCTTATCCTTGTTACTTGGGGGAGGGGTTTGGTCCTGCCTCAACTTGGTATGCCAGACTTTGTTGACTTCCCAAGGAAGGCCCTATCCCCTATGAGGACTAAATGGGGGTGGGGAGAGAGGGAGGCAGGGGAAACTGGGATTAGTATGTAAAATAAAAATATATATATAAAATAAAAAATAGGGTTTCATACTGTAGTGTACATTTTTCATCCTATCATGTCTCTAAAAACATTTAGAGTATGTAATGGTGTTTCCCCCTCCAAAATAAAAAGTGGTATTTAAAGAAATTGATTTTAAAAAACAAAACCAAACAGTACTTCAGAAAACAAATCCTAAGATGTTCTAAGCTGTAATCTTCTTACTTTCATTTGGACCTAATTTTGCAGCCAGTACTGCTATATATTGATTTGAGAATTGCAATCCTGAGTCCTTGACCATGTACTTCAGATCCTACAGCATTCTCAAAGGACTCCTACATTCCAAACTAATTACACAACAGAAACTAATCATGTTTTGTATAAAAAAATCTACATGAATTTTAAACAAAGTTATAGCTATTTTTAATAGTAAGTGATGAAAATATATGCACAGCTGTACATAGATCACCATATTAAATGCAAGAACAAAAGTTTCATTTGATGCATATCAAATAAATTCCTAAAAAGCCTACTTGAATATATTTATTTTCATTTACTTTGATACAGTATTAGGAAGGATGGCATATAATTATGGAGACTGCTGCAAATATTTGATGCTAAGTGTTCTGTATCAGGCATGCAGAGATTACTATTTAAAAGTTTCTCATATATATATATATATATATATCTTAACACATACATTACAAGCTACAGTGTATTTAAAGCATTTAATAATTTTAATCCAAATTATTTTAATTGACCTAAGTGGGGACAAACAAAAAATTTCCTCAGACTGTCATAATATTAAAATCTTATTACTTGAGTTGATATTTAAACTTACCACATTATTCTTAAAATTCCAAAATTCATGAAAACTCCTATCACAAATAAAGATGTATGACTTCTCAGCAGTGGTTTGTTTATCCACCATACACACAGCTTGTCAAGACTTTGGGGACTACAGAACAGTGACATGCTGGTAGCTATAGTTGACAAGAATTAAACAAAGCAGTCTCTTTTCATTCTGGGTATCTTTATTTCAAACTAAATAAATCTTTTCATGAATACAAACTGAAAAAACACATTTTCCCTTTACTTAACATTCACTAGAAGGATAAATAAAACTAAGAACCTTTATTGTTTTTTAAGTGTAGCAAAACAAAACTTCTCAGTTACACTGAGGAAATCATGGGTGAGGAAGGAAGGGAAGTGCAGTTTCCTATCTGGGAAGAATATTTTATGATACAATCACAAAAACTTAAAACCAGGTATCTTGGTTCATGGTCATTTATGGCTTAAAGTACTGGACCTGAAAAAACTTCAGGCTAAAATAAATGTTTGTGAATAATATATGGACTATGTTTTTTAAATAATGTAGTAAATATTCTCATGTATGGTAGAATCCTTATGGTGAAAGGTGTATGCAGATGGGATTATTAATTTTTTTGCCTTTACTAATACTCCCAGAAAGACCCTTGCTTTTGACCTATTCAACATCTTATCTGCCAGTCTTCACATTCGTAGGTATGTCACTGTCACAAGACACCTGCAATAAGGAATCAATCTGCCTCAAGTGCAGGTACCATGAGGACCAACAGGACAGAACAGACACAAATGATACTATCTGTTGCAGTTGATCTGGAATACTCAAGTAGCTAGAGCATCAGATACGAAGTGTTTAGGATGACCCACTGGAATATTTACTGGATTAGTTTCTTTCAAAAGTCAATCTGCCCTTCGAATTGGATAACTGCCAGGATAACATCACTTACTGTTCCTGGTTTTGATATGCTCCTACAACATGAGAATTGAACTGAACTACAATGATTGTAATGTCATCTCTATACATGCGAGCAAGTTCTTCGGGAAGACTAAGCATTTTAGAGAGACGCTCATGATCAACAGCTCCAAACTCATTGTTGCCTACAGCATGGCGAATGAGATGGGTTGCTGCATTCTGATCCTCAAAGACTGATGACATCTTCGCTCTTCTTTCCGTTAAAAGGCCATGCATCTGTCCCAGAGTCACCTTGTATCCACCAACAGCTATTGGCTGCTGTTGATGCATACCAGTTAAGTACTCACCCACAATCCTAACCACATCCTGTCTATGCATGGTCTCCCACAATCCATCGGTTGCCAACACTAAGAATTTATCCTGTGGCCTTAATCGGTGATAAGTTACCTCTGGCTCAGCAGTGAGATAAGGAGGTGTATGATAGTTGGGAGGGATAAACTTGGTATATTCATTGTCATTCAATTGGTCTGGGCCAGACTCTATCACTCTCTTTTGAAGGTCAATGCTCCATTTGAACTTTACATCTCCAAAAGCCCTAAAAGGCATCAGCAAGCCAAGCAGCCGATCCTGCTTCACCACACTCTTGGCCTCATTCTTTGGGTGTTCCAGTTTCAGACGTTCTAGTTCTCTTTCATTCTGAGCATTGTGGTCATTAGAAAGCGTAACTGCTGACCAAGACCCATCTTCTTCTTGCACACCAAGCATGGCTCTACTATCACCAGTGTTAGCCACGTGGAGGTCAACACCATCTACATGGGCCACACAGGCAGTAGCCCCAGAAAATGCCACCCGAAGCACCAGGTAATTGAGAAAAGAATTAGGATCACCAACTTGAGCCTCCAATGAAATGTCATTATCAAGTCTCTTGAAAGCATTAATTAGAGCCTCCTTAACATCAATATCAGCTGATTCTCCAGTATTGAGGTCTATAAGCTCTTGCCAGTAAGTCCTCAAGCTGTTGAAATATAATTTAGATGCCTCCTTACTGAAGTAATCATTGGGGTGCTTATGCCACTGAAGGATAGGTAGCAGGGCCCGACCACTTTCTACTGCATTTTCAATCTCTAGCAAAGTCTCATGGGGCAACAAGGAAACAGCGATGTAATAGAAGAGTCTTTCACTAACTGCCTGGGAACAAGCACAGCCTGCATGACCATCAAAAACCCCCAAGAGCATATCTCTGGTCTGCGAGCAGGTTGCTGCACTTCTTCGGTCCTCAATGGGTGCATTTGCAGGCAGCTGATTGCTGTCAAATCCAAGAATGGAACTGACATTTTTGCCATCAAATTCTGGTACTTTGAAACTGTATTCATTAGCTTTAAGGATGCTGTTGACTTGTGGAGGTGTGAGGTAAAATTTCTGAGGTGTAGAGGCATATCTCCTTCCTTGAGTATACTGCCACCAGTTCTCCCTTGGCCTACAAAAGGTAGCATATGCTGGATGGGGTGTGTATCTCAGGCGATTCTGAGGAATGTATGTTGGTGAACAGCAGAGATGCTTGTGATGGCAGTAACATGCAGTGCCATAGATTCTGCTCAGTTCACAGTTACGGATGAGAGGGAAAAACAGTTGAGTTGGTGCTGGCATGGCATCAGAGAACAGTGGTAGGCTGGATGTTCTGACTGGGATTCCTAGAGAGCAATTAAGACAGATACACACACATAAAAGTTACAATCTGGATGATCTGACAAGCTTTGCTCTATAGAAAATACTCACGGAATTTACATATGCTAGGTATATTGGTATGCCAGGTTAATTTCTACAGGGTGTTTTATGGTAATTGCAATTCTCAACCATTCATGAAGCCAGGACTGAACTATACTTGAATTTCTCTTTTCTCTTTCCTTTGTCTGTGTGCAGTATAAACTGCTCTGCATACACATATATCTGGCTGGAGAAAGCTGAGAAGGAAGTTATGTAACATTGTGCTGCAGCAGTCTACCTGCCCAATCACCCTTCTCTCCCTATGCTTTTTTAAAAGGGGCCTTAGATCTCTCATTTGCAGTTACTTCTACCATTTATGAAGATCTGTTCCTTGACCTGTGGTCAATTTGTTGGCATTTGACTACACATGGCTATTACTAAAAGTGTTAACATATCCTTAACAAATGAATATTTATACATTATTGGTAAATAATATACATATACCTCTATATTAATATAATGTTCATTTTAACATATATAAAACATTTGACATAATAAAATTAAAACGGAAATTCAGTGGCTGGGGTTGTCAAGCTTCCTTATGTATGCCATCGTACCAGCCGATAGAGCTAAAGAGGTCTGCTCTTCACCAACTGATCCTGGAAAAGGCAGTTCACCTCTCTGAGACTCTCCCCACTACATTTTAAGTGAATACAAGGAAGCAGGTAATCTAAAGTCTCTTTAGGATTCATGCTTTTATGTTTAATGTATTGAGGCTTTGAAACCAAATGCAGGCTTTAATGATTCATTGCCAAATTTTGCTATGTTATTTGAGATTTAAAAATTTCAAGTATTCTTAGCTATAAATATGGTTTTGGTAACATAAAGTGATCAAATTTCAGGATTTAATTAGTTCACTAGCACTGTTCCTTGTTTAGTGGTCATAAAAGTAAGCTATATAAATATTATTTTATCTACTAGAGATCCCTATTTACTCCTTAGAGAATGTTTTCTCTTTTCAGTTAAAAACAGGTATCTACTTGTCACAGGAAAGCAACAAAGAACCATAAATTAAGCCCAAGGTTTGGATTATAACAGTATAGCTTTATGAGTATCCTGAAGACATTATTTTATAATAGGCATTTATCTGGAAAACTTAGGTGAACATATATCACTATTTCAAATAATGTATAGAAAAAATCTCCAATAACATATTTTCTCTGAATTCCTAAGATACTGTCTCAAGTATTCACTTAAATTACAAGAAACAGACTTTAGAACTGCTTTAAATAAATAAAAATTAAAAATAAAGCAAATCTTATTATCAACTGTTTTTTCCCAAAACTGAATCTACTAAGAAAAAATTTTAAGGATCACAGTGTTAAGTAATTTTCATGTACCTTTTGGTGGGTACTAAGGAAGTAAAAAGTGAAAATGAGGGAAGAGAGAAAACAAAACATTGAAAATTCAGACTTGTGTCTAGACGCTTTTGTAGAGAGCACCAAACACACCAGCTGATAGAACAACCCTCCAGTAAGTAGTGAAGTATTGACTACCAAGTAGAGACTTGTTTCTAAAAAAGGAAAAAGTACACAATAGAGAGGACTAGAATTTCTGGAGTTAGATTCCATTAAGTCAGCCTTCTGAAATGAGGAAAAGAAATCACTAACAACAAGAATTTACCAGGACTAACCACCTAAATAACAACTGTTCAAAATGAACACCTGAAAGTCATCCAAAGGTTAAGGGTACAGGACTGAGCCAGGATGTGTGCAGTGTGGCCACACCACAGTGGCTTGTAGATATAAACCATACCTCTTATTCATGCATGTATGCAAAAAGCTATTTTATGCTGCAACTACTACCATTAAAAATGAAAATAAGGTTCAATTTTAATGAAAGTAAATTTTTTTTGGAATCTGTTGGATTGTACTACTTTAAAACTTAAGGGGGAGGCAAAGGCATAACAGTTTAGGAAACATCTGCTATATATTTATTGTGTCTAGGAACCCTTTCCTTTCCTTAGGTTCCTGTGTTTTGATAGTTTTTCTGCTTTTAAAGTCAATCAGAAATGGATGGACTCTGGTGGCAAATATTCATGCAGCAGGTGCTCTGAATATTTAAATTCAAGCACTTTACATTTTTTCACAGAAGTGTTTGACATTAAAAGTCAAAGTAGCAGAGAGTATGTGATTTATTTTCAACTGTATCTTTTCAGTTATTCACTGCTTAGCACACGGACTGCAGTCCAATTCTTCAGCTCCTAACATGCTTTCAAAAGGCAAATTCTTAGGGAAGTTGAATTCATGAAAATCTGCCCTGTAATTTATAAGTATTCTATCAGGTCAGTACTAATTACATAGTATTTTCATCAAACCAGAATCGGTACAAGTCAATACCCTATTAAATGCTTTGAAAAACCATCGGTGTGATGAAAAAGTCTTAATATCCTTCTAAGCTGCCTGCGATTCAACAGAAAATCTCTGTAGAATCCTGATAAACTTGCTAAATTAGCAAAACAGAAGCTTCCTCATCAGCCAATAAAAAATCAAGGTATAGTTGTTGGTAAACTAGAATAATCTCACATTCTTGCTTTTCTTTTTAAGTTCATACACCATCATGGCCCAGACTTGGCAACACTGTATGCAGCATCTCAGTCCTAGGCTGATTTGGCTGATACTGGCAATGACTAATAAAAAGATGCGCTGTAACCAGAAACAGAAAGAGCTCCCCCGTCCATTCTTTCTGATGTGCTCGGCAAAGCCTGTGCCAAGAAATTATTTCACTTCATCAACAAACCCACTGGCCAAATCAATTAAAAATTGCTATTGATGCACCTACTCTGGAACTCCGGAGCTTCTCGGCCTTTCAAAGCTCCTGATGCACATGAAAATAAATACTACACTGGTCATTACATGTATCAGAACCTCCGTTTATGTAATCTAATTGCATTAAACACCCTCCTGCATAACGACTTGTGATTTTTCAGCATTTTCTGGAAATTCCTAGCCATTTCACATCTCAGTATCTACAATAATGAAGAAACCCCTATCCTTTAAGGCACAGGCACCAAACCAGCACTTGTTTGATCAGTTTCGTTTGTCCCTACCCCGAAAATCGCACTTACTAAGATATCAAAGAAATTCTTGTGGTCCAGAGTGCCTTTGTCACCCTTTCCTATGGCACCCCTTAATTCCATGAGAACCCCTGGAGCCATTCATTCATACACAAAATCAGTCACCATCCTTCCTGGGTACCCAACACAGGTAGTTACGTG